TCCTGATATTTATTCTTTCATGTAAATAATACAAGCAATAATTATTTTTTACAATTTTAAATGTAAACATGTACTAGGATTGGAAACATTTAGTTTGTCACTAATAACTAATGATCAATTTCTATAATACAGATTTTAACAAAAAAAAACAACACAGTTTCATTATCACTTTAGATAATAAATATACATAAAATCATTTTTTTTACTTTTTTTAATGTACTAAAAAGATTATTTGTTAATTAATCTTTATTAAAATATATAAGCCATTTTTTTTAAAAAAACGTATGGGTACTAATGATAGGTTATCAAATCATCTAATTTTTTTTTTGTACAACTTGAGGTGAATCTTAACTTAATCAATATGGACTTAACTCTTATTAAACAAGTCTTTCTTAGTCGGCGTACAGATTCCTCACATCTTTGCATTGCCCCCCACTGAGCATAAAATGTTACCAACGATTTCTTATCCTTCTTTGTAGAATGGATGCCAACTAATAATTCGAGAGAGCGCGAGCATTGTAAAATATAGTGGCATTCAACTGGCAGCAACTGGTTACTCTATTCTGCTGATCAATCAATAAGTTCCAACAGTTTGGCATTTATCGGTTCATTTCCTCTCTTGCCGTTCCAAGCTACACAGAACGAATTTTAACCCAAATCGTTCTAGTAAATAAATTATTCTGCCCTTGTTTAAATAAATATTTTTTATAAACTTAAACTAATTTTTTAGCGATAATTTTACTATCCAACTTTTGAAGTTAGAACTTAGTAAATTCGTAATTATATAAACATAGCCGGTAAGATGGCTGCGGGCTCACACGATCACACTAATTGAATACAGAGCATTTCCGAGTGCCCACATAGGAATATTTATTGGATTTTATATGTCAGCATAAAAAAATTCAATTTAAATAGTGTTAAATTATCGTATCAACTATATATATATATTTATATAAACTATATATAACGTGCTTAAGATTTATCTTCGGTACATCGAGGCGGTCTCATGTGTCCCACCTTTTCGGCTCTTCCCTTCTTTCCATAGAAAATATTTTCTTGGATCTTTCCTATTCCAAACGATCAACACACAACACCCTTCCTACATCTACAGTCTCCTACAGTTCAAACCCGTGGTCCACTCCCAGAAAACAAGGTAACGTGTTTCCGACCTTTACATCCCTTCCCATAGAACTAAGACGTTTGAATATTCCTTTATTGCCCGATTCACTGCCTTCTGGAATTCCGTGCCTTCTGATATCCGTCATACCTCTTCCTTGTCCTCATTTAAGTATCATCTTTACCAATTCCTTCTCACATCCCAAAATTACGTTATACAATGAAATAAATATTGCGAAACAGATTTTGACTGAGGTGAATGGTTGTTAAAATTGATAGAGTTTTAATTTAAAAAATCAACCCATGTTTATTTTATTTTGTTCTATTTTCATTTAAATAATGTGTTTTTTTCAAAATGGTGTTATTTTTACTTGTTTTAATATAATTTTACTGAAGATACAATATATTCTTTAATATTGACTACTGTAATTTTTGGCCAGATGTAGTTTTTATTTTCTTGTTCATATCTTTTATTCGTAAGGGAGCTCGTCCCAGAATAAAGTTTACTTTCTAATTTTACTATCTATCTATATGAACCTGAATACGCTTGTAAATGACAATTTCGATTATTCAATCCATGTTGTACGTACGTTAGTGCAATGTCTTAATTGAATTGGCATCAATACTCGTATGGCCATTCTCAAAAACTTTCGTTGATGAAAAACTTAGGAAGTATTTTATTTTATTTCCTCCCGTTAAAGAAAAATTACAGATTTGTGCAATTCAGAATAAAAAACAATATAATTTCCTTAAAATCACAACGCTTATTATTATAAAAATATATAGTCGGTTTATTGCAAAAAGTCACTAGCAATAAGTGCGTTTTTGATATTGATTAACTTTCAGGTATATTTTTGTAAATTTGGAACTTATTTATCCATACCAAAAAAATAAAAATAAAACATTTCATAAAAATGACATAAATCCTTTTACTTATCATATATAGTAATACGAAGTGCAAAATTTTCTGAAAGCACGGAATTAAAATTCATCAAAGTTCTTAATTATTTGAGGTAATGAAATATCACTTCATGAATTTTTGTAATAAACCGATGATATCTTAACTAATTTTAACAATGTATATATGTTATAATTGAACTTGTTCCATTGCTTTATACATATTATGGATTAATCGAAGAGATTATTGTTTGTTAAAAATATTCGTAGATGGGCAAATGCTACTCTTGAGTACTGAGCACCATTTATTTTACTGAAATACTGACCTTTTTGGAGTACTAAAGAATTTTATTACTAGTTCAGTTGATGTCAAGCGATAAACGGAAGTAGTGATTGAATTCTTGAAAGTGATTAAATTTGAGTAAAATACTTGCTTCTCTCAGAGTTAGTCTTGCCCGAATGCAAGACCAAGACTCGTCTTGGTCTTGCGCAAGAGCTTCGCAATAGTCTTGCAGTTATCTTTCTAGTCTATTGCTGTGTAGATATTACTGTAATTTTTGAGATAGGAGAAACCTAAGCCCGAATGAAAAATTGTAAGAATTAAATGCAAAAGTACATTGGTTATACCAACTCTCTCCAACATATAGTGACTAAAATTGTCAAGTGTTGGTAACCATTTTGCCATAAGTTTTATTCCTCAAAACGATTTTTTTTTTACCAGTCAAAGGCCGATTTTGGGCAACATTAGTCATAGCATTTGCCCATCTCTGAAATGATTACTGCTTTAATCAAATTACTTTAATTGAACTTCCTTCTACTTTCTATGCTCGCTCAAGAAATAGGCAAATACTTATTAGTTCAGACCTCACCAAATATCTAAAATAATCCACAGCTTATTTTTAACACCTATTTTTTTAAATTTATTGCTTCATTTGGCCATTTACTTTCGGGCGTATTCGGTTAAACTCGGACATTACAGTGTGATCATGTGAGCTTCGGCTCAGAAGTCAACTTTCTCATTTATGTAGGACCGTTACCCATTTTTAATGTGAGTTGAGTGATATATCGCTATTGTTAGTGCAAAAGCTCGTATGTAACTATTTTTCATTCTTATTCTATTTATGCTAAAGGTAACATTTTGCAGTCTGCAACTGCTATAGTAGTCTACTACTATATAAAATAGCAAAGGGGATTAAAGTATGAAATTATGCTACGTAAATGAGACTTTCTCATTTGCTACATTCTGGTAGCATCGTTTTTAATGAAATATTTAATATTTCAAATTAGTATTTTATTTTCAATAATTATTTATTTTATTGCTTCATCACTACCGAAGTTAGGAAAGCATTGTGTTCGTGCGAGATGTAAAAAAAATTTTGTGCTCAGAATCGAAAATTTCCACTCGTGTTTTACGTTTCAGAAATCAAGGATCAAATTTGGTTCGGTATTTCTCTGTCTGTCTGTAGTCAAATCGATGTGACGGGCATATCACCTAGTAGTAGATTTTCATGAAATTTTCAGGGATTATGCAGATTGGTGCCTAGATGGTCCCATATCAATTTTATCAAATTCCATCCAGCACTTCCGTTTACGCACGGGCAAACGTATTTTTTTTTAGATATGCCAATATTTCAGAAAGAGCTCGTTCGATTTGGCTCAAAGTTGAATAGAAGGTAAATATTGGTGAAAAAATAATGTAGTGTCAATTTTATTGAATTCTGTCCGCTAATTTCTCTTATATATGCGCTACTATACTACGCGCGTTGCTATAGACTATAGCGGCTAAACTAATATACCGATTTCAGTGAAACATCGCTAAAGTCATTTTTCTCGGCGCCCTTTAAATTTATCTATATAACATACTCCAACGAAAAGAAGCTGGAAAAAAAGTAACGAGGCATGGTAAAATTAAATTCCTAATAACTCAAAAAGTATACATTTTTTTGTCGATACTGAAATAAGATGTTTCAAAGGTATTTAAATTTCCTAAAAAATGAAGGAAGTTTCATCGAAATCAAAGCACTATATTTTGTTTGATTTTACACTGTAGTGCCATTCGATGTTTATGTATTTTCATACTTCCATAATGTAAGTTATTTAAAATAATGATATCTAACAAATCAAAAGAGTATATATAATTTCATGTTTGATCTTTAAAATATTTTAAATTTTAATAATTCTTTCTTATTGGGTCGATTTTTGATTTTGAAGTCGATTGATATCGTACTAAACCTTAAATATTATTTCGCCACCTCAAAGCAAACTATTTATAACTGGATGCAGACTAAGAAGTTCTTTAAGTGATTTTCATATTTATACGGTTCGTTTAAATCAATAATCAGCTTACCTTTCTTATAAGGTATTACAATTAACAAAAAAATTATAGCTATCGTTTCTGTTTTTTGTATGGTTGTCGCGCAGTAAAAATTGAAATAATAAAACATTGCATCTATAAATACTTTAAAAGTCTTCCTTTTTGTTGCTTTAAAGATAAAAAACTCCGTTTGCTTCATCTGACAATATCTTCAAAATAAGGAATATGTGCTGGTCACGCTCAAGATATTTAAATGTTAGGTGGTCAGTTTATATTCATTCAAATTTAACATAAAAAAAAAAAATGAAGCGTCACTCTAACTTTTCTTCTTCTGAAAAATGTAAATAGCTGCTTCAATAAGGAACTGCTAACGATATCATTTATTGATAAAGTGCTAATGTCAATTTTAAATTTAATTTCATTCCACCTCTAAGATTTTTTATCTTTTTAAAAAATATATATTTATTGCATTTTAACGGTGTACACTTGTTAGATACATCAGCATTATAGCACAGTTGCCATCTCCTTCGATGGATGCACAAGTTATTAAACCTTAGGCTTTGTATATTTATGCTATTACTGTAACTTATGGTTTATTGCAGTGAGCAGACTGAGGGAACACTGGGATGAAGCCAACAGCAAGGTGCTGCAACGGAAGACGGAGCTGGACGCCATGCTGGCCGACTCGGAGAGGTACGAAGCCAAGAGGGCGGAAGTAGACGCCTGGCTGTCGAGGATGGAGTTGAGGTTCGCTAGGATGCCACCTGTTGGCAACACTGCGGATGTTCTCGAGGCTCAGATGAGAGAACAGAAGGTAAGTCCAATAATCCTGACATATTTAGCAAAATCTTTTTTTTTACATGTCTAAGATATTGATAGAATAATATCTTGAAATAAACTGGTGTCAAAAATTACAGTTTAAAATTGAATAGTTTTATCTTTTTCTCTCTTGTGAAGTTTGATTTAAAACGACTTGGAGTATTTTTGATTTCCATGGTTCTTTTATTAAAAAAGACAAATTTCTTGGCATACATTTTGATTGACTGTTACAGACATTTTAGCAAAATATTGGAGCTTTTTTATTACAGCTAATAAAATGATTAATACGACGTTAATGAAAGCCAGTAAAGAACTAGGGCTCGAAATAAACGCGGATAAAACAAAATATATGGTTAGCTGCAAAAATGGCGATACTACTGGTAATATCGACATAGATGGTAATATGTATGAAGAGTTAAAGAAGTTTAGGTATCTAGGTTCTACGATAACTAGAAAAAAAGAAATTGAAGAAGAGATTAAGGTTAGACTGAAGGCGGGAAATGCTTGTTATTTTTCTGTAAGAAAACTACTTTAGAACTGTAGAAACTCGCGCCTCTTGTCCCGGAATTTAAAAATTAGAATCTACAAAACCATTAGAACCTACAGTTCTTTATGGATGCGAAACTAGGTCGCTTACATTAAGGGATCAGCAGCGTCTTAAGGTTTTTGAAAATAAAATATTGTGTAGAATATTCGGACCGAAGTTAACCGGATGAGTTAACCGGAGAGTTCAGACGGTTACACAACGCCGAATTGCGTGAACTGTGTCCGGGTAATATAATTGAGGTAATTTCATTACGGTGAATCAAATGGACTTGTATAATTGTTAGGCTTAGTAACGAGAGAATTCCTAAAAGATTAATATTTGCTGTACCGAATGGTAACGTCCGAGGGGTAGACCTAAGCGAAGGTGAGATGATTGCAGTAAAACCATTAAGGGACTGGGTTTGGATGGTGAACGGTGGAGGGAGGTGTTTAATAAACGATTGGTGGTGTCGGCATCGAACCTTCGGGTTTGCTAAGCCTTTTATTATTATTATTATTATTATTTTATTATTAAAATGGTTAGGTAAAATGTTTGGGTATAGTTACGAAAGAATTTTGAAAAGGTTAATATGCTCTATCCAATAACGGATCCAGGATTTAACTTTCGGGAGCATCAGTCCGAAAATATATATATGTAGGGAGCAGGATAGCTCAGTGGGTGAGTACTTTTTTCATCAGTCTTGGCTTCGGTCGACCCTGGGGTCGGGAGACCCTCCTTGAGCAAACCCAGCCTCTATAAAGTGGACACTCTTAATTAAAGAACTATTTAAGGTGGAAAACTGGCGGATACATAGGTTAACTACTTTGAAATAAAAAGAAAGATTGTATTAGTGATTCTTGAAGTTCTGTTAAATGCAATTAAACGAGTAATAACACTTATAGAATTTTTTTTTCATAAGACAAGGTTATATTTTCAGTCCGAAAGCCCCTCCCACGTAGATCTGCTTGTGGCACTACCGAAGGGTTAGCGAAAGCGAAGGCAGAAAGATCGTGTTAATGCTGTTCGAGTGGGTTTGGACGGCGGTTTGTGGAGAAGACAGCGATTGGCGGTATCGGCATCAGACCTGATTACGGAGAATGGATACATTGAAATTGTAAAGGCATTTACTGACGACTATTCCACTCTTAACGAAACGTGTAACGACCACAAATGAGGAATACTATATAGATTTTGGAGCGATAATGAGAAATGGTTAGAATTCTATCAGTCCTAAGCTCCATCATTCCAACCGACCGTTCCAATAATATAACGACCGACTGCGCAGTTTTTAATACAGTTTTTAGGAATTAATACAATAATAAAATAGTTGATTAAAAATGTAGTTCATATAGTTAAAATTTGCGATGACGATTTTATTAAATAAGTGAAAAAATAATAATATGTTTTTAAATTTCAATATGATTAATTAGATTAATTTAGATTGCAAGGAAACATTTTTTTATTACTATTATTATTATATTGCGGAATTAAATTAATCCGTACATTGCAATGTTTGTTTACTGTAATGAATATATATTGGTTTTCCTTAAAATGCGTTATGGGATAAAATAATTGGAAATAATAAGCAACGTGTAGTTCAGACAAATGTTATATAAAAATATCTGACAAATAAATTTGTGTATTTTTAATACATAATTTTACTTATTACCGACGGTTAAAATTTCAGAAGAAACTTGCTCCTTGCTATTATTATTGTATAATAATCATTATTATTATTATAGGCCCAGGTATAATAATAGGTTCTGGTTATGAGGGAAGAGTAGAGGTATAGAAATGCAGTAACTAAGGCGACGGGAATATTATAGCGTACTATAAGAGAATTGCGATATCATTTGACGACTGGTTTTACAGCCTCTGGCATAGACCACTATTCATTTCTCCTGCTTATATTCCTCTACCTCACTGAAAGACATGTCTTGTGTATTCTTCCTGGTTCTCTTCTTTCCTTTTCAATGCGCTCTTGAAGTACTCCTCTTTCTCTTTTTCTATCAAAATTAAAGAAGAAAAAAAAAAGAATCATGTTGTTTTGTCTTCTCTGGGAATATTCCCATATATCAGCACAACCTTTACCACACCATTGTACTCCTTTAATTTGACATTTTGGAATTTCAATGCCCAAGTAAGAGAGAATAAATTTGAGCTCAATTTGAGCTTATTATGATATAAATCAGTTCGTCTATTGAGGTTAGTGTTGCCCAAAATCGGTCTTGGTCTTGCACATCAAGATCGTCTTGGTCCAAATTGGTCTTGGCTGTTGGAAGATAAAGACCGAGATTGGTAAAAAAAAAATGTTTTTTGTGGATAAAAATTAAAGCAAAATAGTTACTAATATTTGGCAATCGTAGTTAACATATGTAAAGAAACTCTTCCAATTTTTCATTCGGGCTTAGGTTTTTCCTATTATTATAGTAATATCTTTTTTAGTAATAGGCTAATAGATAACTGCAAGACTCTTGCGCAAGACAAAGACCGCCTTGGTCTCGCATTTGGGCAACACTAATTGAGGTTATTGTGATTGATTTAGTTTACTCTCGGGAACTATTTTCAATCTAAACAGATCCTGTTATTGGAAGGATTTTTCGGCTTACTATAATATGTTTTATTTCATTATTTACCGATAGATTCAATCCGCTTCTCTTGTAAGATTCTTAGCGAGTCTCTCGGTCTCTTTATTGTTTCCGAGGACAGCTTTATCATCGGCATATCTAAGGATTTTATTATTCAATTCCATGTGCAACCTTCCATTTTCACGTGATGTTCTTACCACTTTTTTCAGAGTTAAGTTGAAGAGCATCGTCATGAATACATCTCCCTTTTTCAAACTTAGAAGGTTTCAGATACTCCTTCTTGTACCAGGACTATGTGCATATAGGCTAATTTGTTTGAACTCCCAGCTGAGTTACGATCTTCTAAAGTTTCTTTCGAAGGATTCATGGGTGGATTTGAAATCTACAAGTAAGTTGTTCATGGGGCGTAGTGGCCGAGCGGGCTAACGCGTGTGCACAGCACCGTGCATTGAAATAGACAAATAATTACTAGTTCAAATTCCAGTGCCCGGTGGTACTTTTCTCGGCGTTATTTCCCTGCCCTCTCCCCGGCCTGAGAAAAAAACCCGTGTAGTCTAAAAGACAAATAAGGGTATCCAAAAAATAAAAATATGAGATGTACACATCCCAAGCACCCGTTTTAACATGAAGATCTTTATATCTTACTCATTGCTGTTCTAAATGCTATTTGGTGATCTCCTTTTATATTTTCAAGATACGGAAATTGTCCTTGTAGTATGTAAAATGTATATGCATATTTTTTTTATTTTTTTTTTATTTTTATTAACCTTAAATTACAAGATCCTTTAAACGAGTTACAAATTATTGAACTCAATGATGAAAAGGTGGACAGGAAAACGATCTTTTGAAAAAAGTCTTTCAAGTTGAGTCATCCTTGGATTACGTTCTTTTCTTTTTTTTTTTACCTTCTTTGACACTTTATAATATTTTTTCGACAAATATCTTTGGATTCAATTGATGATGGGTTTGGTTCAATTAAACCCACCTTCTACCTTAATAATAATATTTGTTTAATTTATTTAGTATTGTTAATTTTATTAGCCGTTAATATCAGTTCTAGTTTTATTAAGTAGTTTAATAGAGTTTTGTAGTACGGATGGCCGAGCTGGCTTACGTGTTTGCAATACACGTATTATCTTGCCTAGCAACCCTAACATTAATCCTCCTCCCTCCCCCCTGGCCCGAGTAAAGCCACGTAATAGCCGAAAACGCGAGGTAGGAAAGGAAATAAATGATGTTAATAGATTTTTAATTTAATTGAAATAAATTAACCAAAATATTTAAAATATGCATTTATTCTTTGATTAAAAAAAAATTACTTAAATCTTGATGTATTAATTCATAGTAAATTTGAACAGTTCGCTGAAAAAAAAAATTAACAAAAGGGCTTGTTAAAAAATTTACAAACATTAATTACAAATTCCACTTCTTCACTTCATTTCTTGTAACTTAGTTTGTTTGTCTTAAATACTCTTTTTATAAATTGTATAATATTATTATACTTATGTTTTTATAAATGGTTTTCTTCGCTTTTATAGCATATTGTACCATAGCATTGATAATTTACCTTATTTAAAGTAAAAACAAAGCGTTTTAAAGCAGATCCTCCTAGCATGCTATTCGGCCTATCCTATACCGAGAGGTGGCTTGGTTGCTTGAGGGCAATTACTAGAATCAATTAACACAAAGCTCTAATTGGAGAGGGTGGGATCCAATCAGCACTTCACTAATATACTATTATCCTTACTATTGCTACTACACTACTAGGCTGGTTTAGTCGCTAAGTGCAGCTCAGCTCCGTGTCCCATTGAAACACCCGAGTCAACCTGAGGACATTGAACTCAGTGTTTAGGAACTAGATGGGGTTTAAGTTAATCTAGT